TAAAAGTTGCCATTGTGGTTCACATTGGAAGGTCTTATCAGGAAGCGATAATATAGTAGCTTGCATAGACAGTTCTTTTGACTTGTCTCTTTGTTCTCTGTTCTTACGTGTGTTCAGCTGCAGATTCCAGCCTAACACGTAAGCACTATTAAGCTTGCTGAAGGTTACAAAATGGAGTAACTTATGCTATATTCCAACACCTTCCCTTCCCTTTCCCATCCCTTCCCTTCCCTTCCTTTCCCATCCCTTCCCTTCCCTTCCCTTAAGTTCTCCTTAATGCCAGAAAAACCCTCTAATTGTCAGGAAAGTTCTCCTTGGTTCTAGAACCAACCTTTAACTTCTAACGTTCCAGAAAGTTCTTCTTAGTTTTTGAAGCAACCAGTAAGTTCTGTCAGGAAAGTTGTTAGTTTGAAGTTGGTGACTGAAGAATTGCTAGACTCAGAGTTGCTTGCGGGGGGGGGGGAGGAGGAGGGGGGGCTGGGATAGGCCATCTACTTTCCCCCAAGGCAAGGAGGTCCTCTGCTGAGGGGCCATGACCTAATTGAGGAAGGGGCTTAGACTCTTCTCTGCTTTGAAATCTCCCCTCTCCAACTGTCAGTGTCATATAGAAGTCCTTCTGGAAGCCTGGTTGAAATCGTGGCCAGGAATGCTTTTGACCACATTGCGTTGGTATGCCACAGCCCCCCCTTTCTGTTCTCCACACTCTGATGATTGCCCCATGTTAGATTACTGCAGTGTGCTTATCCTTGGGCTCCCCTGGAAGACTAGACAGAACATAACATCTTTTATACAGACTGGCATAAGGTGGTGTAGTAAGGGAGCCCTTACAATGGGGAAGAGACAGGAGAGGGGTTACATGGCCTCCAGTGGGGCTTTGAGTAGGATTCCAAGTGCTGCTTGGAACTTACAAAGCCTTGGAGAGCCGGGGCCAAGATGGTCCGTCTGGTCACCCCTCCAATGGGCTCTGGTTGGCTTTTCTGCCTGCCTGTGAGTACAGGAGGGGAGGGGGCAGAGGCCCAGAAATGGTGGTTTTCCCCCATCCTCTGACAAAGCTCCCCCCAAGATCTGGTTAGCCCTTCCAGGCATCTTCCAAGAAGCTGTTCAACCCTACAGTTGCTATTCTCGGAAGCGCCGGAGATGAACAACGGCAGTTTCCCTCCGTCTGGTGCACCTTTCATGGCTGTTCAGGAGCCTCACTTGGTGGTTTCACCATCTGAGGTTGCTAAACCACCAAGAGCTGCTGAGAAAAAGTAAGAAGGGGCCCCAAGACACCGAGTGCTTGAAGCAAAGGACATCTCACTTTGCATTCTCTCTCCAGAGAAAGTGCATTTCAAGAAATTTTCTCTTCCCGTTCCAATTTTAGTGGAAGTTGCATCTGCCGATAGCCACCCATTAGCTCTATTTAGCAAGACCTGTTTCTCTTTGAAGACGTTTCGCTTCTCATCCAAGAAGCTTCTTCAACTCTGACTGGATAGTGGGGAATGGAATGATTTATACTCCTTGCAGATAGCTTGGTCATTTGCCTTCTTTTAGAGTCCTTAGTGCTACCTGGAGGCTTATCTGTGTCTTCAGGGTCACCTGAGTAGTGCAAATGTGTATGGAACTTTTTGGGAAGTGTTGCCTTGGCAGAGTGAGGAAAATTCTCAGGGATGACTCACACCCTGGTTGGTACCTTTTTACTCTCCTACCATCGGGTAGGAGATACAGAAACATAGCCAGCCGTACCAACAGGCTGAAGAACAGCTTTTATCCATGGGCTGTCAGGCTTCTGAATGGGACATAACTTTATAACTTTATGTGATATCCATGTTGCCTCCCCCCTTCAAATAATCTTTCATCAATGTTTTAATTCAAAAGTAAATTTATCAGTCAGTCAAAATTACAGTTCAGTGTGTTCTTTTTTCAGTGCCCCATGTACATGCAAACATTCAAAAATACATTAAAGATCAGTGTAAATATTCAAAAACACAAATATGGCATAGGGTTTTTGTTTTTCATTTTTTTACTTCTATTCTTTGGTGGCCAACAATCAATGAGACAGTCAGTGGGAGGGGAAACCTCCTGTAACAAGTAGCAAACTGTGACCCACTGGGATAACAATCTAGCCAATTAGTCCACGCAACACAACTGCAGTCACTGGAAACTACTCTATGATGATGTTATAGTCAATTTATCAGCCAGTCAAAATTACAGTTCCGTGTGTTCTTTTTTCAGTGCCCCATGTACATGCAAACATTCAAAAATACATTAAAGATCAGTGTAAATACTCAAAAACGCAAATATGGCGTAGGGTTTTTGTTTTTCATTTTTTACTTCTATTCTTTGGTGGCCAACAATCAATGAGACAGTCAGTGGGAGGGGAAACCTCCTGTAACAAGTAGCAAACTGTGGCCCACTGGGATAACAATCTAGCCAATTAGTCCACGCAAAACAACTGCAGTCACTGGAAACCAGTCTATGATGATGTTATCCATTCAGCTGCGTCCAACTCTTGGTGATTCTATGGGCAAGGTCTTTCCACATCTTCTGATCTTACATTAATTCTTTGAGTTGTTCTATGCTCTGGCTGGTGTCAGCTTTGACACTGTCCAGCCACTGTGTTCTTTGGCAACCTGGTTTCCTTTTACTGCTAACTCTTCCAAACGTAACTGCTTTCTCCAATGAATTCACCAGCATGACATGACCAAAGTAAATGAGATACAGTTTTATGATTTTGTCTTCTGGTGATGTGTCTGGTGTATGTACTCCAGAACCTATCTATAAGCAATCGTGAAACTCTTAAAGGTACACCGGTACCTTGGTACTCAACTGCTTTGAAACCCATTGAATTTGGTACTCAACACACTTTGACCTGAACATTTTCTCCCAGTTCTCTTTGTTTGATACTCGACACACACAAATATTTCTGTGTTAAGTGCCTTGTGACTCACTACAATATTCCTTATGGGAAAATTTTGTTGGGTATTCATTGTTTTTGGGACTCATCACATCTCCCGGAACCTATTAACGATGATACCAAAGTACAACTGTAATTTCATAGCGTTTGCACTCCGCAGGTGTAAAAATAGAAACTTGATGAAATCTTGGCTTGCAAACAAGCCACAGGACTTAGTAAAGTTTAAGGTGTAGTCAGTAAGGATCCGATAAAGATCTTAATGGCCCAGCCTCCACTGGAATTCTTTGAACATCCTCCATCTTTTTCTTCCACTGCCTCTGGACCAGGTCTTGTGTCTATTAGGCAAAAAACAAGAAAACTTTGCAGAGTTCACGGGGGTCTTGAGCTTAGGAGGAAGGTAGGCAAGCAGAAGACAACAGCAGAATGACTGAAGCCAACCACCCAGAACAAATGGCTGCTCTTTTCAGAGAGGCAACAGTCAGCTAACCACTTGTTCCTGATGGGATACATTTCCCTCCCCTTTCAGCTAAACATCTGAGTTAGCAAAGTAGTTTCCAAAATGAGTGAAAGGAAAAACCTTGCAGTCGGTCAGTTTACACACTTTCCCCAACACTAAACACCACACTACACCAACAAGACATACACACAAGCCATTCCCCCAGCAAGCATTTCTTTCATTCAGTTCAATAGCAACATGGATGACCAATAACTTCTCTACATATTCCAATAATCAAAACAAGGGGGGGGGGAAGAATCTCAGGTCAGGGGAAAACATACTCCTTCTCTCCCGCACTCACTACTTTTTGGTTATGGTTTAGTCATGCAACCTTTCATAGCCCTATTGGAGAATGCGGATCTCACTGGTCCCCCTTGCAATTCAGGGTTTTCTGTTCGTCACCCATGACAGCTGGCAGAGATCTGAGGGCGGCTGAATCCAGTTTGACACACAGCTTTGATCAATTTTGAGCAAATTTAACAGAAAAGAGTATCACTCGCAAATACAGTCAACAAAGCACAAAAGAATTTCATGGGTATTCACAAACCATGAAATGAGATGACATTTCATTTCAAATGGCAGGGGGTTGGACTGGAAGACCTCCAAGGTCCCTTCCGGCTCTATTCTGATTGATTGATTGATTGATTGACTGATTTAATTCATGCAACTGTTTGGCTGAAGACCCAAATTTCCTTTACATCCCTCCAGGTCAAGTCACCAGAAAGACACCGCCCTTTGGGCAAATAGTCCAATGCATGGCTATTTTGGGACTCAGCCCTCCAAAACTGTTGGAGAATTTTGTACCTTACCCAGTGTGCCCTCAGCCAGGTTGATTAAAAAACACCAGGCAGGGTGGGTGGGGGCCCCCACAAAGGCCCCTCTTTCCAACAGAGGTTATCTACATTATAATCAGCCCCTCCTATAGAAGATCACCCCCTTACCCAGTCACTCGTTTCTTTCCTCACATCATTCCATGTAAGGCAGGGCCTCCAACTTCAGCAAATTTATGACTTGTGGACTTCAACTCCCAGAATTCTGGGTGAGGAATTCTGGGAGTTGAAGTCCACAAATCATAACGTTGCCAAGGAGACTCCTGATGTAAGGAACTTCTTTCCTTGCCAGGTGTCATTGTTCCAACTAATGAAACACTTCAAAGAACTTCCAGGCATGTTTATCCTAAAGCCTTTATTAACAGTGTTACAAATTGCCGGCACATCATGGAGGGTCACCAGAATCTGAATTCCTCTTGCTTGCATCTAACTTTTCTTGCTAAACCCCTCCCTTATTTTGCAGTCATAAGTCACATCTTCCAATTAGCCCAGAGGGCAAAGATTCACTTCCGTTCCTTTTCCCGGGCTTTCCTTACTGATCTCCTCCCTTTCTCTGTCATCTGAATTAACTCTAAAAATACCAGACAGTTCTGCATATTTTGTCAAAGCAAGAATATTCAATATTAGCAGCGTTGACATCAGGGCCTTTAGGTTTTCTGAGAATAATTATCTAAGAAGAATCCTAATGTATATCTTATCTATCCTTAGAAGATATACCTTAACTCAGTTTCCTGGGTAAGCTACTTTTGAAGGTTTGTGGACACTGAGGTGTGAGGAAGTTTACAAATCTTAAAGTAAACCAGGAGACATTGGTTTCGTAGACTTAATAAAAGTACAAATGCCCAAATAAAGTATTCTAATACCATATCATAAAAAGTATCCTAACAATGGAATAGAAAACAGCAGAATGAAGCTGAACCAAGAGTTTCTTCAGGCTTCGTCCCTGAGAGTCATATTTCCCGCGTATACTAGACAGGAATCATGACCGGATAAGCTAATTCCACATTATTGGAAGGCTACATTACAAGAGTTTTGCAAGTCTGAAAGTAAAAATCTCCTGCCATTTTTACAGCGTGAGAAGCAGGAGGGCTGGAGGTCCCTTCTGAGCTTCTCACCCTGCCTGTTATGCAGCTGCGGGCTAAGCCCTCTCTTATCTGACCCTTCCCAAGGCCACATTGCTTCCCCCAGGTAGACTAGACAGGAAACATGATCAGATAAAACTAATTCCACATTACTGTAAGGCTACATTAACAGAATCTTGCAAGTCTGAAAGTAAAAATTTCCTGTGGTGTCTTCCACAACCTAAGAAGCTACGGCCCTTTTGAGCTTCTCAGCCTGACCATTATGCAACTGTGGGCTAAGGCCTCATTTATCTGACACTTCCCTAGGCAGCATTTTTTTCTTCCCTTCTCTTAAGACTTTTCACAGGTACCATTGCAGGTAATGCTAAAGGTGCTGGAGAGAGAAGACACACGTTCTAACCTTGCTTCAGCCATGGAACCCACTTCCTTGTTTTCCCCAGTGCAAGTCCTGAAGAGCAGTACAACACTCTGTATTCAGGCTGACAAGGGGTCCCCATAAGGCAATCTCGCTTGGATGGGGTGACGTGGTGGATTGTAACCCCTCCCTCCTGGAAGTCCAGACTATGTTCCAACACGGGTAGGAGAATACTAAAACATGATTGTTGTGCACCACTTTCATTGACATGGGCAGCTAAATAAATTTCATACATACATACAGACATACATACAGTAGTGGCCAAAATTGTGGAAACCTTTTGGGAAAAGTGTACAGTAGAAATGCCACCTTTGGTTAAGTTTCCACCCATTTTTCTTCTAATTTCTTTATAACTGTAGTCTTGTTCACTTAATAATATTACTTTACATCACTTTCTGGGCAACCAGTCAACTCTTTGCACCATTACTTTAATTTTATTACGTTTTTCAAGCTCACTAAATGAAAGAACATAAAAAACCCCAACCCACTTGATAGCGATCCCATAACACACTGACAAATGTCTTCCTCTCAGCTTCAATACATGACATCAATCACTGAATCCCACTGTGATCTGATTGGCTCATTGCCAAAACAAGATGACACCTGATTGGCTCTCTAAACACTCACGCTCATTGGCTACAATCAGATGAAGGAAAGCTACCTAAGCAACTTGTGCTTCCTTTTTCTGGTTATTTGGCTATAACGTTTCATAGAATGCAGTACAGATAATTGAACAAACTATGTTGCATTACATTCATGATTAAATTATCTTTCCATTGATATATAATTTTATGGTATTACTCCCTCCCAAAAGTGGTGTTATTAGCCATCAAACCCTCAAAAATACACTTTTCCCAAAAGGTTTCCACAATTTTGGCCACTACTGTACGTACTGAAATAAAATATTTTGTTCCAGTGCCAGAGATTAGATTTTGTTCCCTCTGTTAAAAGATATGTGATCCTATAGCCCTGTAGCCCCTACTTACCATGGTAGGCATTTCAAAATCCTGGCTGGTGGCTGTAACAGAGAAATGAGCAAAATCAAGATTCAGGACAAAGGGGAGCGTCTCCTTCAGCCAGGCAATATATAGAAGGGATCATAAGCAACACGAAGTCCTGGGCATCTCCCACATGTATTCCCCTTCAAGGCAGTTTGCTTTTGCCATCAGTCACAACCATCGCCATCCTCTAGAACAGGGGTTCTCGGCCTTTTCTTCACCACGTACCCCCTTTGTGTACCTTTTGTGGCCACAGACCATGGCCACGGACCCCCAAGTCTTAACTCAAAATTTAAATTATAACATTTCTTCAAGCCTTTGTGGACCTCCTGTGACGACATTGTGGACCTCCCCCCAGGAGTCCGCAGACCACAGGTTGAGAACCACTGATCTAGAACAGGGTTTTTTCCAAAATGTGTTCTGCGAGAACTTGACGGGCATTTTTTTTTTTTTAAATGTGCTCAAATGCAGCCAGGCTTCTTTAGTAGTTTTTTTCTAGGATATAGCAGGAAAGCCAAACTGATGGCCCCTATCATTGCTTACGAAACTTACTCGGATCACCAAGATTGATCTCAAGCAAAAATAAAAAATAAAATAAAATATAAAATAATAAAATAAAATAATAATAATAAAATAAAATAATAAAATAAAAATAAAATAAAATAAATCTGCCAGGACTGTCCTTTTGCTCACCTTGACCCCATCTCCCATGAAGTCAGCCTGCTCCAGTGTTACTTCCCTTCCATTTCCCCAAATGAGGCTTCATGGAAGGTTTCAGGGGGATTGTTATATACAGCCTGACAATTAGTTTCATTTATTATCACTTGTCTATCTCTAGAGCAGGGGTGTCAAACTGCCGGGTCATGCCGAAACCACGCCCACCCCATTGCCGGCAATGGAAAGAAAGTCGCGATATGTTGCGACACGTCATGTGGTTGATCAATGGAGCCTGACTTTGCTATAGCCTACAGTATATGTTTCAGCTCAACTTCTGTCTGTCTGTCTCTCTCTCTCTTTCTCTCTCTCTCTGTGTCTCCATTTTTTTCTCTCTTCCTCCCCCGTTTCTCTCTCTCTCCGTTTTTTCTCTCTCTGTATGTTTTTCTCTGTTTTTTTCTCTTTCTCTCCCCTCTCCGTCTGTCTTTTTTCTGTTTCTCTCTCATTCTCTCTTTTGTTTCTCTCTCTGTGTGTGTTTCTCTTTCTCTCCCTGTTTCTCTCTCCCTGTTTCTCTCTCTCTCCGTTTCTGTGTTTTTTTCTCTGTGTATTTCTTTTCTCTGTTTTTTCTCTTTCTCTCCCCCTCTCCCTCTTTCTCTCTCTCCTTTTTTCTGTTTCTCTCTCACTCTCTCTTTTCTCTTTTTTTCTCTCTCTCTCCCTGTTTCTCTCTCTTTGTGTGTGTGTCTCTGTTATTGTGAACTGCCAGAGAGATTTGGCTACTGGGCAGCTAAGAAATTCTAATTAATAAATCAATAAATAAACGGATACATGGCAAACTTTCTTCTATGTAGGAAGATCCCATATTTCCCATTGCCGACAATTCATACATCTGCTACAAGCTTCATTTGGGCTAAACTGGACCGTTCCCCTTTCTACCCCAAAAGGCAGCCTGTACCAAAATTACATTTCAGGATCACTCACTCGCGACTTCTCCGCCTGCGTCTCCAACACATTTGGCTGCAAGACAGAATCTAGAAGTTAGAGGTTCCCGCTGAAGAGTCCCTTAATTTCCCTCCCCTCCCGGCCTTTGATAGATGGGAAAGGCCAGGTTTAGGGGTATGGCAGCACCTCTCATATGTTTTGTGAATGATGCCTCTGGTGCCCACCCAAGAGTTACTTACGGATGTAGCAAATCACTGCGACCACAGCCCCCACGACTACGACCACAGCCCCCACGACTTTGACCACGAACCACACATCGACTGTTTTGGAGAAAGGTCAAAATGACTGGAGAAGCTCCAGGATTTCTCTTCCCTTGCATTCCCCAGCCATGGTGAGAGTGCAGCCAAGACTGAGTTAACTAAAAAAATCCTTAATAGTAGGGGCAGAACCTCTGATCCAGGGAGAAAACGGATTTGTCCAAGGAGGAGCTAAAGAGCCATCTTTCTGGAATGGTTTAAGTTGGATGCCTGCACCGAGCAAGGAGTGGACTGGATGACCTCAAGGGACACTTCTGGCTCTAGGATTTTGATAGGCCATAAAAATACAGCTGCCTTTCCATACCATAAGTTTTTCCTCCCCCACAAACATCTTCTTCCTTGTGGCATCCCACAGGAGTCAAGCTTTACATGCCAAACTTTAAACCAGAGGTCCCCAACCTTTCTTGCTCCATGGACCAGCAACAGCAATGGCAGCAGCAATGAGGAGGAGGGGATGGTTTCGCACACGCAACCTAGCTGCAGTACACGAGCAAATGTGGCTTCGTGTGCTTGGCTGCAGCTTGCACGGCCCGGTTCCCAACAGGCCATGGACCGGGAGGAGTTTGTAGCCTGTGGGTTGGGGACCCCTGCTTTAAACTTCCTCCTCTTTCAGATGCCTTAATTAACCTACCAGCTCAGATTTGCACAAAAGGACTGGCTGGCCGAACACACCGGACCTGGTCAAGGGTTTATCTGAACCTAAGTAAGGGCCTCTCGGAGCTTGGCGTGTTGAGCGAATTCAACCCTTGGCCAATTTAAGGTCCTCAGCATAGGCGAACCTGCTAAACGAGGAAACCCCTCACTACGTTTATTAGGTTGTATGACCACAGACACCCTAAGGACCACTTCGCTCATATTCAGCTGGTTCCCCCCCCCCAGCTTCTCTCACCAGGTTTCTCCCAGGCCACGATCAGAGGCTCTGTTAGTCCAGCATGTACCACATAGCACCGATAATGGTCCCTCTCTTTCGGGTTAACCTGGATGCTCAGCCAGGTATGGTAGGTTCCGTCTGAGTTTGGAAGAACACCACCCCAGAAGGTGCCCTTCTCCCTGACTTCTCCGTCCTTCCTCCAGGTGACGTTCGCTTCTTTGGGATAAAAGCCATAGACTCGGCAGACGAGGGTCTCCTGGCCCTTGTCCTGGATCCTGCGAGTTACTTTCGCCACCGGGGCCTCTGTAGAGAACATTTGTTTTAAGACTGCACTTGTGTAGCCTGGGGATGTCGCCCCACAGATTGAGTGCTGACCTGACACATCATCAACACCAACTTGGCTCCCAGCTTCCTTCCTCACCTTTCCTCAGCAGGGATTCCTTTCCGTACGTCACGCACTTCTGGAGCAGCTCGATGCATTTTTTCTCCAAACAGTGATTCTTGATCTGAGTGATCAAACGCTCGTTTTCCCATCTCCTCTTGGTCACCTGAGCGTGGACATCCCACGCGATCCAGGTGAGAGTCTCCTGGTCCAGGCTGATGAAGTCCTTCCCATCGTAGCCATACTGATAAACGCCCCCCTTGTGGCCTTTGTCGCTCAGCTCGCAGCGAATCAGGTTCTGCCAACTGTGGAACCCTGCTCAAATCAGGATAAACGTTGGGATATAGGCAGAGTAACCACCTGTACCGTATAACAGGGCTCCCCAACTTATGGGCCCCGGCCGGTCCTGGACCGTGGGCTCTTGGTCAGCAGGCTGTGCGCATTCCCCCCCCCCACTCGCGCTAGCACCTGTGGACCAATTGCGCATGCGTGAACAGAACTGCTAGCCGCTGCAGAGTACACAGCCTGTTCTGATCCAAACAAGAGATTTGCTTTATTCCTGTTTGTCACAGACAGATTAACTCCAAAGACGGATTAATATTCAGATTATTTATTCTTCAGGAATCCCTAAACAATAACTTACAGTTAAGAAGAGTTCTTCTGAGGCAGGTATCATAACCTGTCCGTTCTTGTGGTGTAAAAAAATTAAAGGTAGATTCACCCCATTTTCGTATGGAGCAAAGGAACCATGTGGCTGTACTACACAAAGCTTTTCATACATACACTTAGCCAGGAAATCCTGTCATAAACACAGAAGCCCCTCCCAATGGTTAGTTAAGACATAGAATTGACCAATTAGAACACATATATAACCATGCAACTAAACTACATTTCCCAGAAGCCATCTCTTAAGGAGACAGCATTTAACCCCTTAAAATGCTACTTGCTCTAACAGCACATTCTTAGTTCCTAAGTTAGACATACACTCTGGCCAGATGGTTACACACTGGTCCAGCAAACGGCCGTTCGCGCATGCGCATGGTGCCAGCGCATGCCGCAGGCACAAATAGGGCCACTAGTGCCGCACCAGTGTGCGTGGCCCCGTTTGTGTGCGTGCACACGCACCAATTTGGAAGCTGCTCTCCTTCCCTCCGGGCCACAAGCCCAGAAAGGTTGGAGACCTCTGCCGTATAATAAAGGACAGTCCTTTATTCCAGAAAGCTGACCTGTAGATTTATTGATCTTTTTAAAACAAAAAAAAAACAATGAAAGCTCATTGTTGTCCTTCACATGCAGTCCTCGACTTACAACAGTTCAGTTAGTGGCCCTTTGAAGTTACAACGGCACTGAAAAAAAGTGGCTTATGGCCATTTTTCAGACTTATGACCGTTGCAGCATCCCCACGGTCGCCTGATTTGCATTCGGATGCTTGGCAACTACTTTATGACGGTTGCAGTGTCCCGGGGTCGTGGGATCCCCTTTTGCGACCTTCCGACAAGCCAAGTCCATGGGGAAGGTGGATTCACTCAACAACCGGATGACAAACTGAGCAACTGCAGTGATTCACTTAACAGCAATGGCGAGAAAAGTCGTAAAGTGGGGCAAAACTCCCTTGACAAATTTCTCACTAATCTGGAGCTCAACGGTGGTCGTAAGCCGAGGACAATCTGTAGTTTGGCCATTTGATTCTCACCGTGCAAATGGCAGCCCTTAATTCAGCCTTCCACATTCATGTGCAGAAGAGGGACATTTTATTTTGACTCAAATGTGCACGACCACATTTTCTTTGCTACTATTTCCTACCCATCCAGACTCTTCCTGGAGAGGAAGGGTGACCTCGGAAAGCCCCAAATCCATGGTTCAAAGCCCCCCCCCCCGCACCCCCGTGTGCCTTACCTTTGCTGGAGTTGTGATAGTTGTACAGGATGGTGAGTTCATTCTTCAACCCCCGCTCCGTGGTGTTCACTACCCAAGATAGGGATTCCCAGAGACGGGAGTCTTCCTCACTCAGATTAAGAAGCCAGGGCACTTGGGGCAGCATTTTTCTGGAGGGGGGGTCAAAGCGTGCAGCCAGCTGGTCGTCCACATATGCCACCATAATGTACTGGACCCCATCCTGGCTGGAGCCCATGAACAGCGTGTAGAAAATGCGCAATGAATGGGAAGAGGAGCCTGAAAAGAGCAGATTGGGGGAGGGGAGGGAGGAGATTTGGGCGAGGGGTCTCCAAAGGCACACTTTAAAAAAACAAAGATTTTTTTTTTAATTTGGAACCAGCCCTCTTCATAGACAAAACCTCACTACTTTAAAATTATGGAGGTGTACGGAGGTCTATCAAGAAAGACATCCTGGCCCCAAAAGAGGAGGCACTGAGGGGTCCTTGGTGCTCTCTAAGTTTGGTTGTTTTCTTGAAGAGGTTTTCATCACCCAAACTAGGTAACATCATCAATGCTAGTAAGGAGTGGAATGTACTCTCACTTTATATTCAAGTGCAGTGGTCTTCAAACTTGGCAACTTTAAGGCTTGTGGACTTCAACTCCCAGAATTCCTTAGCCAGCCCAGGGCTGCCCCGTGGTTCTAAGGCTGAGCACATTCTGGCTTTGGTGGCTGGCACCAGGTTGTAGATCAGTAGATCAGCACCAGGTCAGCCTGCACTGGGCCAAGGTGTCATGGCTGGCCCTTCGCTGTTTCCAGAGTAGCTCCACGGGCCAGAGGCAACCACATGGCAGGCTGGATCCGGCCCGCGGGCCTTGTATTTAACATATCTGTACTCTTGTATGAAAATAAAAAGTTGAAGTTGTAATGTTATCATCTATTATGCCAAAGAGAGTTGGAAGTCAGTGCCTTTTTATCTTTTTCCCTTCCAAGCCCACATTTTCCCTTTCTTCTTCCCCCGGTTTTCTGTTACTTTACATTTTCCTTTGGATCTTTTGTTTTGATAGAAATTAATAAAATTTTAAAAATCAAAGAAAACAAGCAAGCTCAGAGAGCATCACCAAGGACCCCTCACTTCGACCCTGAACTACAAATGTTCTCCCTTTAGAGGAGGGACTAGATGTCCTCTGGTAACTTTCAGTTTTGCCGCGGGAAGTATAAAACCAGGCCAAAAGTCTACAGCAAGATTAAAACGGGCTATTTTTATTTCAGATTGATAGGATTGTCCTCCCCAACCGGGCAAAGCCTCCGGAACTCGCTGCCACAGGAAAAACAGGCTGCCCGTCTCAGGTTTCCTTAGCCCCGCCCCCTCCGGCCACTTACTTGCGCATCCTGCCCCCAGCAACATGAGGGCCGCCGCAGACAAAAGCTCCATCCGGGCCGTCGGGAGTCCCATCCGGATCCAGACGCGAGATGGGCAGCCCCGATCAGCTGGTGGCGAAAGTCTGTGAAGGGCACCAGAGGGGCTGAGCGCTGGAAAGTAAAAGTGGCGCGGAGGTCATCTGCGGGGGGAGGGGTGTCCCAGCCCCGAAGCTCCCTTTGGGGAGAAGGAAAGGAGACCCCCTAGAGAGCCAGGAAAGGGAAGGAGCCGTAGTGAAAGGAGGTTCGGGGCAAAAACCTGCCCAGCCCCGAGAGCGCAGAGGAACACATGGTAAGTATATACTGTAATAAGGTTGAAAAGGACCTCGGAGATCTTCTAGTCCAGTGTTTCTCAAGCTTGACAACTTTAAGGCATGTGGACTTCAACTCCCAGAATTCCACAGCCAGCATTGCTGGCTGTGGAATTCTGGGAGTTGAAGTCCACATGCCTTAAAGTTGTCAAGCTTGAGAAACACTGTAGGCTAGTCCAACCCCTTAGTTGGTAGGCCGGGCGTCGTGGGAACGGCCTTATATGGAGGAGGCGGGTCAGCTCAGTGCCCCTGGTTACTCAAGAGGGAGACCCGCCCTTGGGGTGGGGGGGCTGAGGCTACAATCCCCATCCTCCCCTGCGGCCTGGGGATGATGGGAGTTGCCTCGAACTCCCGACGAAAGGCGCTGGGTTGCTTGGGTGAATAAGGGCGGTCTGGAATCGGCCGTTCTTTAAATCCTGGTCATTTTAAATAAAATAAAATAAAATAAAATCCTTTCTTTTCTCACCTGCCAGGCCGTCCCGCTTCTTTTCTCCCGGCTTGGCTGGCTTCCGACGCTGTTTAGCCCGGCAGTTACCCTCGGCGGGAAATGAGTCCCAAACGGAACCTAAACCTGGCGCTTTGGGGCTTTGGATCGCTGCCGATCCTCAGCCTTCAGGGCCAGCCCTTCCCATGGCGGGCTCTGGGGCCCTCCGGGGAGGCTCGGGGAGGCTTGCAATGGGGGAGAAGCAGGGAGGGGAGGAGGGGGCGCTGCCTCCTGGGGCTGCCTCTCCCCTCCCCGAAAAAGCCTCGTTGGCAATTAAAACGGCTCCCTTCCCCTCGCGCTTCGCCCGAGCTTTCTTTTAAGTTTCGGTGTTTCTC